ATTTCCAATATCCTGTGACTTCCACGTGCGCGCGCCACTTGAGCTCCACAGGTGCTGGCAAGTCAAACGATGGAAAGTGGGGATTCAACGCTCGCATGTCATGGCTTAATTACCATAGAATGCCCATAGGTGTACATAGTATTGTAAACGTAAGGGAATTTTAAAGGGCTATATAAACATCAACAAGCCAGAGGTGTGTCGACAAGGTTGTGCAGGAGGTTTGCTATAATCAAAGTTCACGTTACACCTTGTTCAACACTTGAAAACGGTGAAAGGTTGTTACAATACAGTGAGTGCAGTTAGAGAACAAGGAAAAAACCCAAAGAAACAGATATGCGCGACAGATAGTAGGAACAAAGGCAAAACGAATCTATGGTTGATAGATGGACCTCGCGACCTGCAATGTCTGTTGAGTAAAGGTTTCAACTAAACAGCAGGACGTCTTACGCTCTCAAGCAACATGGTAACTTCGGGTGCGACGCGAATGAACTCCTTGTACATTATATGAAAGAGTGCATAGTCTCATTGTCTACCCAGCCGTTGCAATCCCTAATCCAGGCTGCAAACTCTTTGTCAGTCTGAAAGACAAGAGACGCCCTTGCTCCCCTGTAATCCAAGTTGAAATGTGTCACCTCACTCGATCTAAAGAGAGCCACATCTCCAGACCGCAACTCAAGCACAAGTCCATTCTCCAGTAGGCACAAAGCCCCTCCTTCGAAGTTACCCATAGGAATCACAAGGCAAAGATGACGATCCTGGCTGTCTCGATGGGCTTTCGTACGCACATTGATGTTGATGACCAACGATATAAAGGGTGAGACGGGGGGAGAGCAGTTTCCAGGCAAGACTGCTGCCACTTCCATCAGCAGCTCGAACTCCTCCTGCAGATAAGTCTCCATCTACCAATGTGAATATCAATGTTGCAATTAAGAAAGGTTTGATGACATACCAATTTTCGAACCCACTCAAACAACTCTTCATATAACTTTGAAATTGTATGGTAGATGCGACGGTGTTGATGTAAATCTTTGGAAAGGTAGGGAATCACCTGCGAGTGATTAGTGCGCATGCCTTCTTTTTCTAATAGCCATGGTTGGACATTTGTTGGAGCCTTATGACCCTGTTTCATCTTCAGCACATACCACAAATTGAGAGTCTAAAAAGCTCGCTCACAGAGGTACAATGTCTATTGTACCAAGATAGGTGCATTGCTTGAAAGGTTTGACTTCCATGCAACTGAGTATCCGTCTCTACTAGCAGGTCTGGGCTTTCCAACGCTGCCAAAAGATTTACTTCGAGAGTAGAACGTATATGAGCAGGTAGAGCTGTTGACACAAAGGCCATGAGTGAACCATCTGCATTACGTAACTCCAAATGGTGACTGCGGAGATCAGTTTGAAAAGTACAACTGCAGAGATGTGAACTTACTTTGGTATGATATGCATTGGAATACGCAAGTATGCATCCTGTGTTCTCTTGATGCCTTTGTGGTAAAGTTTGGCAAGCTATATAAGCAGTGAGAGTGATCGTTAGCTAAGTAGAACAATGTACGACTACATGCACACCTTCATCTTCAAACCTTCAATGCTTCTCACTCGCTCACCTGCTTCAGCCCGAGACCTTTCTTTCGCACTCCAGATATTATTATCTGCTTTGTTTTGAGGCGCCTTGAGGCGTTGATTCTCAGGTTTCAGCGGATCATAAGAAGTCTTGATGACTATGTGCTCAATTTCGTCGTCCTCTACGTCAGACAGCAGTGGACTGTAAGGACGACTTGAGCTGTAAAACTCCTCATGGCTCAAAGCCTGTACTTGAATTCTGTCCAAATCGCTTGGAACAGGTTTGATGCATGACCTCCAAACATGCCTGCTTCTGCGGAGGGGAACAAATGCACTTGAAAACAACAAAGTCATTCATGCCAATCTATCACAATGTCGGAAACTCACTTTTGGATTATGGCATCAAAGAAACAATCAGACGCTGAGAGGTCTGTACAGTCAACTGACTTTGACACTGTGAATCTAGCAATAAGTGCAGGAGAGAACATTGTGTCCAAAGCGATGGGGTGCATTAGACGCATGCGTGCGATCGTGGGTGCTATGTATTCCATAATGAGACTTCTTTGAGGAGAATCTGTAAATCAAGCTTGTATTACTGCAATTTCACAGGGGGAACCAGAAGAATAACTTACTTTGTGGTGGCGAACGTAGCATATTTGCTAGATTCAAGTGCACAGTCCCTACCATGGACGCAACGGCAACCCTGAGGCCCAGACCGGCGATGAGTACCAAGGAATAAATGGAACCACCGCAGGCGATGGCAATGAACTTGCAGCCGATTGAGTGCCATTCCGCAAAGCTTCGATAAGAGATCGACCCAACTGAAGTGTTGTGTTGAATTTCTTTCTTGTAGATGTCTGTTAAGCGAAGACCAGTCTTGAGGCGCACGCTATCAAGAATGGCTGTTTGGATAAGTTGGAGCAGAAACGTTTAGAACACGTACCTTTGGCACTTGAAGACGAGAGTCATGTAGTTCACCATGACAAGGAAGTTAACGCGGATGTCCTTACTCGCAATCCCTCGACATCTGAGAATAACAGAAATCAGCGACTCGTCTTCCATCAGTGGTGCTTGTGCATGGTTAACGATATCTTGTAACCAGCTGAGAGGATTGTGAATAGATGAGCAACAGTGTGCAGATGCAAGTTCTGCAATGATTGTTGCAATATCCTCACTACATGTGATCTTGGGGTCATTTGAGGGTCGCTGACGCCATGAACCTCGCCTGGAATGGGTGACATCCCCCTGTCCTTCATCAGCTATCACCCTTCCTTCCTCCTCCTCCTCCTCCTCCTCCTCCTCCTCCTCCTCCTCCTCCTCCTCCTCCTCCTCCTCCTCCTCCTCCTCATCATCATCATCATCATCATCATCATCATCATCATCATCATCCTCCTCTTCCTTTTCATCCTCCTCCTCCGCTTCCTCCACGACAGGTCCAAGAGGATCGTGACCAAGTGCTGTAGCACGCCGCTGACGAAGTCGTAACTGACGCGCGCCACGATTGCAATCGTTAGTAGGATTATTAGCGAAAGGCGGATTGAATGCAGGCTCAGGCGGCTCCCCTGGTGTCCCAGCATCTGTGTGTGTGCCTGTTGCAACTTTGCGCGCTCTCTTCGTAAGGTGTGACGAATCGGCATAATCCATGCTCTCAACTTGGCATCGGGCCCTGCGATGGCCAGCCAGAGAGGGAACCTCGCTGGAAGTTGCCCGCAATGATGATGAATCGAGCGTTGGAAGAGCTGTGGTTGGCAAATCATATGAAACCTCAAGAGTGCGTTGGGGGCAGAGGACATCAGACAGCCCTGGCGTGGGTTCCGGCGTCCGTAGTTGGCCCTGCAAAGGTGCTCTACTATTTGTGTTCAGGCTTGGATAGGCTAGCCAGAACATGGAGCATATAAATAATACGACACTACGCCAATAAGAGTTTATACGCACCATCATTCTCTACTATGTCATTCATGGAGTTACCTTGACTATGAGCTTCATCGATTAAATGTTGGTGCAGGCCAAGGAGAGCAGTAGGAACATGCACGGTGTCTTCCAATGTCTGCAACAGATGATCTGCCACATCAGGGGTAAGACATATTGACACACTGGATCTAAATTTGGGAGGCATCAGAAGAACTAAGTATACGTAGCGGTACTATACAAGATTCTGCAATCGTCCGAGTCAATGGTGTTTGTCACGTGATTTCCATAGCTATTTGGTTGAATATGATACATCTGACTCAGACTCCCAGTTTACAGTGATTTTGCTTGGACAAAACATAGTTGCGTAAGCTTATCTCTCGAAAACACGACTGGTATAACACTGTGTGTTGTACAAAAATTCCGACGGCTTAGAGATGGCTGAGAATCTGGGGGTACCTAAGGTTTCAGCCACGTCGAAGTCATCAAACATCAACCAACTTCTTAGACTCGACGATGACCAGTCTGACGTACGTCACATGAGAGTGGGGAATTTTTGTGGCTACGCCACTCGACTTGTCCGTGGTTATACTAGATGTCCACTAGAGTTCGCGCATTTTTGGGAAAACATCTATAACTCTACAACACATCCACATAAAAATATAAATTTTTGACGGATGGATAGCCTGACATTGAAAGTACAAGGCCTGCTAGTTTTTTCTTTTAAAATCGACGTGTTGAGTCCAGCGGAGACTTACCGCGCAAAAAAGTACGGGTTTCCCTAGAGTTCGCGCATTTCGTCACACCATGTCACACGTCTGCCGCGGTGCCGTTTCACATTCCGCACCGTTCGAAAGTCGACTGCAGCGTATTTCGGCACAGCGGAGTTTAGATGTGTGTAGTCTCATTGTAACGCTTTGGATAGATTGTCACGTCTGGGCTGTATTTCATTCACAGCAGATGATTCTGACAAGCATGTAGCCCCGAAGAAATTTATTTTAGCATTCTATAATCATGTATAATCATCATATCGCATCCCAGATTTTTCCGTGGTGATCTGACCTTCAGAGGGAGTCATCTATGCACAAAATGAGCCTCGAACACCTATAACTCGACCATGGCACGAGATCCACTTCATTTCTTGCCAAAAAAAATTACATGGTCATGTGTACTATGTTGGGAGGAACCTATATACAACATACATAAGGATTCCGTGCAGAATTGCGTGTGCTAGAGCCAATGCGCGAACTCTAGGGACGCGCGAACTCGTGGGACTATCTAGTATAAGCCAGGCTGGTCCCGAGCCTACCAACTTCTACGATGTCAGAAATTTGACACTTTAAAGTTTAAATTACGTACTGGTGTCAACAATGGCTCGAACTCTAAGTAGAGCCACTCTCACCTGCGTACTATCTACGTTTTAGCCGACTGCACGCGTCTGTTTACCACGCGCTCAGAGCGCTCTATTGCACACATCAACCTGACGAGGCCAGTGTTCGGATGAGGCATACAGGTTGTTGCGCGCTATCTTGCATGCCTACCAGCCAACGAACGGTAAGGACGATACTTTCTACTTGTATAGCATTATTACATTATTATTAGTCTGAATTTGCCGGCTTTGACACACCAGCGGCGTCTGTGCCCATGCTCGCTATGCGAGCCGTTACGTCTTTTCAGACCGAAAGATCAACCAGGAACCACCTCAAGAAGCATGGTTATGCTCACGTGCATCATCTTAACAGCTGCGAACCCCTGCAGTTGGATGTATGCAGTCGTATATGATAATATGAATAAGGCTGTGCCTCACGGTAAGTGTTCAGATCAAGGTGCACGGAGTTTAAACTTACCTTCTCGACAACAGTGATACTGCTATATCATATTTCAAGCCCATACCTGTTCTCGCTTACCACGGTTAGCTTGCTGAGAACTCTCACTACAGAACTCGAGCTCTTCAATCCACACTCAATCTCAACTACTAGTACACTTTGTGTTTTAACTATCCGAAACAATGTCACCACGACCCTTCATCAGAATTTGACCTTCCAGTTGTGAGTATCCGTGATCTCGCTTTAACATTTTCACCCAACGTTTCGCAGTAACGACCTCGGCAAGGGGGTCACGATCACGCTCGCCTGGATGCCCAACCTGGACGGCCTCTGTGAGGACTTCTTTCCGATAGTTTGGAAGTAAGAGTGTCTACTTCTGTTGGGGACCATTTAAAACCTTGCAATTGGTTCAGGGTCAGCAAATTCAGGAAGTCGGGTGTGCGTTCCTATTCTCTTGCTGCCAAGTTGCCGACTTACATATGAGCCCTCTTTCCAGGTCCATACTGGACTACCGCAACATACACGACCCAGTAAGATGATCGACAAGATCAATACTCTTGAAAGTCGCTTATACTCCAGAGCCCAGGTTGAGAGTGGGAAGGTCATCAGCGCTGCGACCTCCGTCAATATCAATGTGAGCAACTCTCATCTACTCCGACATTACTAGCACCAACACAAGCCATAATGCAGAATAGCGAGAAAACAATCTCGACAGAAGCCAACGATGTCTATCATTTCTCTGTAAGTCTGGCTTCCATCGATTTTCATCTCGACCACCGACGAATACCTCATGTAGCCCCTCCCTCGCCAGTGTGTGCATGCATTCGTCTAGTATATAGTCAGGCTGCCAGAGCTGTAGCGAGCGCGCGGCATCAGCATTGTATTTCCTATAGCTACCATGTATTCGCAGTTTAAATGGAATATTCACAATATTTAAAATCATTATTAAATAATGTGCACACCGCATATGGTTTATTATATATATACGTATGGTGTCGTTTTGGACCCATAGTAGCAGCTGGTTCGAACTTGATGCTTGATGGCCAAACTATGCATCAGGGAAACGTAACTCATTACACATGATTACAGAGTGCTACGAAGCGCTCCGTAGCACTCTGTAGCACGATCTAACCCGCTGATGTGTCTTCGAGGTGATTGACTCAAATCCGGAAAATCAACCGTCTGGAAGCCGGTTCATACCATAGGTCCAGAAACGGCTAAAACTTGACCCTGGGGTCACATTCCAGCCAGGTATCTACCGTCGGAAATTTTTGACAACACGCAGTGTATAATTATTGTCCTGACACAACTCCCGCCTATTATCAACCCTCAAAGAAAACAGTATGACATAATACTGATCTAATAGTCTGCCATATCACCTCCATCCCCTTTACCGGACCACCCTAGGACTGTGCTAGGGTGCGCTCTTAGTCATTGACGTCGGTGCCATCCTCGGCTTGTACCATCAAAGAAGAACCAAGCTAAAAATACCCCAGTGAGTTTCAATTCTGATATTTGTATTATGTGCGCTGTTTGTTTGGGCTAGAGTCTCCGGCCCAAGGTGAACCCAGAGCATACTCAGAAGGTCTC